TTCATGGAGACCATGGCATTGCAGTAAAGAGTTTCATTGACACAGGCCAGCCACAACCTGTGGGAGACAGAGTTATTACTCAAATCGATCTCACTGAAGGCTTGGAGGTAAGGGGATTTTTCAAAGACAGTTTGGTGGGGAGGGGGCTAGGGTTTGGGCAGTGCTGATTGTTGGGGGATGTGGAAACTGGCCCTCCTGCCCTGAGCAAACTTCTGGGTGGGGGCTAAGGGACTGGTTGATTTTCGGGCCAAATGGTGCCATCCAGTAGTCAGACATGCAAAAGCCTGAAAAGAAATCTCAAGAGGCCAATCTTAGGTTCTACAGTAGTGATGTTCTTCACAGCAGTAATTGGGGAAGCTGCAAATCTTGTGACCTCTGGAATAATGACTGGCAATTATTTAATGAGGCATACATCTTAGCAGAATTCACGCCCCTTTCATCCTCCTAACTTGGTGGACTTTCATTAGTTTTACAGGGGTAACTTAGTTTTGGGGAAGGTTATCATTTAAACAAATCTTTTTGGCTGTCCTCAACCTTTTTGGCACCAGGGACTGGTTTCACGGAAGACAATTTTTCCATGGAAGGGGGTGGTGGATGGTTTCTGGATGAAACTGTTCCACCTCAGGTCCTCAGGCATTAGTTAGAGTCTCATAAGGAGTGCGCAATCTGGATCCCTCACATGCTCAGTTCCCAATAGGGTCCGAGCTCCAATGAGAATCTAATGCCGATGCTGACCTGACAAGATGGTAATGCTTGAAAGCCTGCAGCTCACCTCCTGCTGTTCGGCTGAGTTCCTAACAGGCCATGGACCAGTACCTGTCTTGTGACCCTGGGGTTTGGGGATCCCTGATTTAAACTGTAAACTCAATTTTTCCCAAAGATCGCTTGGGAGAAATTGCACAGGAATGAGCAAAGACAGCTAGTCTGTGAGGCTAGAACCAAGATGGAGTCAGCCGTGTCTACTTTCTCTTATTGTCAGAATTTTGCAAAAGTAGTTTCAGAGGGACTACCCTGGACACTTGTTAAAAACCTGAGATGGATTTTATTGTATGTACTACAGTAGGCAAGAGAGACCAGCAGAGAACTGAGCTCAACTCCAAATACAGCAAAAAGAGTTGAAGGTGTATAGCCAATCGGCAAGATAAGAAAGTCAGCAGATGGAAAATTACTAAGAGGAACTTGATTAGCTATCAAAAGTGGTTGGGAGGACTCTTGCTAAACTAGACTCAACAGTACTCTTTTCTAAAACTGGACTTGGCAGGCCAAGAACTAATAGAGAAAAGGGTTCAGCGGCAACTAAGGTTTGGTCAAAGATGGAGTCCTTGTCAACGCTACATTGAAGCTTCTGCAAGTAAACAAAGACCAACCAAACAAAAAAAAGCAAAGGCTATTTATTTTGAGCTTGCTATAGCAGGGAGTCAGCCACTGTTACTTGTATTTTGGCCGAGACTTGAAGGCAGTCAGAAGGGTGGGAAAGCTTTTTAAAAAGAAAGACTTCAGGCCGGGTGCGGTGGCTCATGCCTGTAATCCCAGCACTTTGGGAGGCCAAGACGGGAGGATCACAAGGTCGGATGATCGAGACCATCCTGGCTGACAAGGTGAAACCCATCTCTACTAAAAAGACAAAAAAATTAGCCAGGAGTGGTGGCAGGCGTCTGTAGTCCCAGCTACTCAGGAGGCTGAGGCAGGGGAATGGCGTGAACCCAGGAGGCGGAGCTTGTAGTGAGCAGAGATCTCACCACTGTGCTCCAGCCTGGGTGACAGAGTAAGCCTCCATTTCAAAAAAAAAAACAAAAACAAAAAGGCTTCAGGTATGCTTGGATTGGAGGCTGTCAGCACGGTGATGTTGTAGATAGATGAAGAAAATAAAAATATTTTACCCCAGAATATGTATCTTTGGCATATTTTAAGAATGCTGTCAGAGAGCCAGCAAACAGAAGTAACTCTGCAAAACTGTCTTTTGTAGAGGAAATTTACACCTGCAGAGAATCTGCATTAATCCAGCCTTTCCTTGTCAGGACTGAGAAATAAAAATAAGCCCTAAGCCCTACAACCAACTGAACGGACTCCCTCTTGGCTGACAGGACCGCAGAGAAACCTTGAAAAATGTTTCTGACTGTGGCAGGATAGGATGTCAGACATGCCCCCTTAAAACCCCTCCCTCACTAACTGCCATTGTGAGGCAGAACAGCAGAGGGAATTGGAAGTTGGATGAAAGGCAGAATGAGTAAAAGCAGAAACAGAAGCAAGGTGATGGGGTGGGAGAGCAAGAAGAAAGATAAAAGGCAGAAGTTGAGCAGCCAAAACAAAAAGTAAGATTAAAAAAAGCAAGCAAGGCCGGGCGCAGCCTCTCACACCTGTAATCCCAGCAGTTTGGGAGGCCAAGGGAGGCAGATGACCTGAGGTCAGGAGTTTGAGGACCAGCCTGACCAACATGGTGAAACCCCTTTGTCAGGCCTCTGAGGCCAAGCTAAGCCATCATATCCCCAGCGACCTGCACGTGTACATCCAGATGGCCTGAAGCAACTGAAGATCCACAGAAGTGAAAATAACTTAACTGATGACATTCCACCATTGTGATTTCTTTCTGCCCCACCCTAACAGATCAATGTACTTTGTAATCTCCCCCACCCTTACGTAGGTTCTTTATAATCCCCCAAACCCTTAAAAAGTTTCTTTGTAATTCTCCCCACCCTCGAGAATGTATTTGGTGAGCTTCATCCCATGCCCCCAAAACATTGCTCTTAACTTCACCGCCTATCCCAAAACCTATAAGAACCAATGATAACCCCATCACCCTTTGCTGACTCCTTTTTCGGACTCAGCCCTCCTGCACCCAGGTAAAATAAACAGCCATGTTGCTCACCCAAAGCCTGTTTGGTGATCTCTTCACACGGACACACATGAAACACTCTTCTCTACTAAAAATACAAAAAATTAGTTGGGCATGGTGGTGCACTCCTGTACTCCCAGCTACTCAGGAGGCTGAGACGGGAGAGTTGCTTGAACCCAGAAGGCAGAGGTTGCAGTGAGCCAAGATCGTGCCACTGCACTCCGGACTGGGCAACACAGCAAGAACCTGTCTTTGAAAAAAAAAAAGGCACGCAAGGACCCCATGGCCAGCAAGATCCAAACCAGTAAAGGGGCAGCTCCTCAGAGATAGGCATGTGGATTAGAGAGAAAAAGTATCCTTAAAATGACTTCATATGATAATTAGCTCATTAAGGCTCATACATATGGACTGCATATCAAGCATGTACTTAAAATTATGGGATGGAGGCAACATTCAAGCACACAAGGGCCAAGCAACCCACCTATCAATCAAAAGGCAAACACTGGCTAAAGATTAGACATCTTTGGCCCGGCGCGGTGGCTCACGCCTGTAATCCCAGCTCTTTGGGAGGCCGAGGCGGGTAGATCACAAGGTCAGGAGATCCAGACCATTCTGGCTAACAAGGTGAAACCCAGTCTCTACTAAAAACACAAAAAAATTAGCCGAGCATTGTAGCAGGCGCCTGTAGTCCCAGCTACTCGGTAGGCTGAGGCAGGAGAATGGCGTGAACCTGGGAGGCGAAGTTTGCGGTGAGCTGAGATCGCGCCACTGCACTCCAGCCTGGGCGACAGAGCGAGACTCCGTCTCAAAAAAAAAAAAAAGAATTAGGCTTTTTTTCCCTAAGGGTTAACAAACCAGCCCTTTGGAAAGACTTGCTTCACCACTGTTATCAACCAACACCCTGATACTTTCCCTTCCTTCCGTGGTTTTGACAAAGCAAGCAAGCAGCATTCCCTCCTGATAAGAGACCACCGACCTAGGAATGATTCTGGCCAGACTACAGAGGATGTGCAGTGAGGGTTTTCATGTCCTCTGCTTCAGCTTTTGATGTCAGAGGGCCACAAACTCCACTCTCAGATAGCTAATGCCACCATTTTATGAACATGGGCCCCATGGAGAGGCACGAAGCTCAATTGCACATCTTCCCATTTTTCCTCTTATAAATATTCATATTGGAATATTATTAGGTATTGCTCCCGTGAAAGATACATTTGCAGAATGTACTCAAATTAGAAGCGTTATATAAACACTATAATGTAGCAATGGCGCATCCAGTTCTCTACACCATAGAAATATCTGCGGTGTAGACATTTCCACAATGACCAAAGATATGTGTACAAGAATGTTGACTGCAGCATTCTTTGTAATCCTAAAACCATGAAACCAACCTCATCCCAAAAACTTTTTTTTTTTTTTGAGATGGAGTCTCATTCTGTTGCCCAGGCTGGAGTGTGATCTGGGCTCACTGCAGCCTCCACCTCCCAGGCTCAAACAATTCTCCTGCCTCAGCATCCCAAGTAGCTGGGACTACAGGCACATGCCACCACGCCTGGCTAACAAAAACATTTTGAAAAGAGTTAAATAAATCATGCACAAACTGGGGAAAAATACTGTTTTCAAAAATGATAGAGAGGATCACTATGATGATGAATGATTCCACTGGTCACATTATTGATAGAACAATCAGTAAATCCAGTCACATCCTGGGGATACTACTGGACTCCTATTACTGAAATATGAAAAAATGGAGGCACGTAAATTACTCGTTTAAGCGTATGACGGACTGCATTAGAATTTTATCACACCACAAGTGGGTTCCTAGGTCTCTGTTTCAGGATTCCTGAGTTACACAGGTATAAACCCAGGATTTCAGGAGATACCCGGTTAAGAATCCGGTCGGGGAGGTGCCCTGGCCCTTGACATGGATAAGTCACAAATTAGTGGCCTAGGACTCCGGGAAGATAAAAATCTTGCCCATTCATGTAGTGATTGACAATGCATGAATGCTTTAAAAGCATTCAACAAGCGTCCCTGGGTGGATTCGAACCACCAACCTTTCGGTTAACAGCCGAACGTGCTAACTGATTGCGCCACAGAGACACGTACTGTGAGCTCTACTGGGCGCTACAGGAAGGGCGCACTCACTAAACTTTCTCCGTCCCATCCTCAGAGCCCTCCAGGCAGGACCACTGAGCAAGGCCCTTGGAAAATCGGAAAGATTGGAGCGGTGAGTCGCGCTGGTCACGTTGGACACCTGCGCGTTGGGAGATTCTGGTGCCAGAAGGACAGCCGAATGGCCTTCTCCCGCCCTGCCCCTCGCCTGCTTCAGAAACCCCCAGAAACGCCCCTGTTGCGACCCCGGCCCGACCCGCCTGGGGGCCCAAGGGAAGCTGAACGCCCCGTGGCTCCCCGGATGGCTCTTCCCGTTCTTTGTGCCACCTTCACCCAGTGAGGGAGCCTGTGCCCACCCCGCCCAGTCGCTTTTGGGGCCCCTTCGGAGCTGCCGCTGCCATCTTCGGATCCTGTGTCCCGCATGGGGGCTCCACCAGGGCAGGGATGGTGGCGAGGGTCGCTCGTGGGTCCCCTCCCGGGGAGCAGGGTCTGGCACTCACCAGGCCGCCGGACTAGGACTTGCCGAATGAATCCATCGTCGCCTTTAGTTTTTAGTCCTTTGAAGAGCCTTCAGAATGGAAATCATGAGAGATTTTTCCATGGAGAAGTTCTTTTTACAAAGCATTTATTTAGTTGACTTCTCAGCACCCCGCGGGGCTGCAACGGGCAGGGCCTCCAGTGCACTTTCTGCGCAGTGGAGCCGCCGGGACTCAGCTGGGCGGTGGTCGGGTCTTGAGGCCTGAGGGCGGGAGCGGGGGAAGGGAAAAGCAAAAGCAAAAAAAGAAGCCGCAGAGCGGTGGACTGTGGGGAAAAGAAAGAAAGATCAGGCTGTTACTATGTCTATATAGAAAGAAGTAGACATAAGAGATTCCATTTTGTTCTGTATTTGAGATGCTGTTAATTTGTGACCCTACCCCCAACCTTGTCCTTGCAAGAAACATGTGCTGTGGTGACTCAAGGCTTAATGGATTTGGGGCTGTGCAGGATGTGCTTTGTTAAACAAGTGCCTGAAGGCAGCTTGCTGGTTAAAGGTCATCACCATTCTCTTAATCTCAAGTACCCAGGGACACGTACACGGTCAAAGGTCGCAGGGACCTCTGCCTAGGAAAGCTAGGTATTGTCAAAGGTTTCTCCCCATGTGATAGTCTGAAATAGGGCCTGGTGGGAAGAGAAGTACCTGATCCTCCCCCAGCCCGCCCCAGTGAAGGGTCTGTGCTGAGGAGGACTAGTACAACAGGAAAGAAGGCCTTTTGGCGCATGTTGGCAGTTAAGATAGAGAAAAGCATCTGTCTCCTGCCCGTCCCTGGGCAATGGAACATCTCGGTGTGAGACCTGATTGTATGCTCTGTTTACTGAGATAGGAGAAAACCGCCTTAGGGCAAAAGGTGGGACTTGCTGGAGCAATGCTGCTAAAAGGTTTATGGAGATGTTTGCATATGCATATCAAGGGGCAGCATTTTCCTTTGAACTTACTCATGTCACAGAGATCTTTATCCATATGTCTTACTGCTGATTTTCTCCCTACAATGATCCTATTGTCCTGCCACTCCCTTATTTTTAAGATGATAAAGAAAATTATCAACAAATACTAAGGGAACTCAGAGACCGGTGCCGGCGTGGGTCCTCTGTATGCTGAGCGCCGGTCCCCTGGGCCCACTTTTTCTTTCTCTATACTTTGTCTCTGTGTCTCATTTCTTTTCTCAAGTGTCTTGTTCCACCTAACGAGAAACGCCCACAGGTGTGGAGGGGCAGGCCACTCCTTCAGTGGACCAGACATCCAGACCCTCTGAAAGGCTCGTGCGTGCGGAGGCACAAGCGGCATCTTCCGGAGGTGAGAATTGTTTTTTTATTGTAGCAGAATGGGGAGGAATTGAGGGGAAATGGAGATAGAACCTGAAAGATCCCCCAAACACGAGAACCTGTAGGTCCCCAAGCATAAGATGTCGCAGAACTAGACCAAAAACTAGGCTCCTGGGAACCCTAAAATCCTTGGAGGATCATGACCCTCTGTGTTCCTTTTGGCAAAGGACTTGTTTCCATTGTTCGTTCAATTGTTGGTGTTTGTTGAATAAATAAGACTATTTTCATGTGTCTTTGAAATTACTTTGACTCTATTATTTTATGGTTACAAATAATGGTGCAGTGATCATTCTTGTACACTTCTTATTGGCCATTTGTGTATTTCTATAGGATAGAGGCCTGGAGAGCAGTTGTTCCAGCATAGTGATTACAGTTTTTGTTTATTTATTTATTTATTTATTTATTTTTGAGACAGTCTCGCTCTGTCACCCAGGCTGTAGTGCTGTGGCACGATCTCACCTCACTGCAACCTCCGCCTCCCAGGTTCAAGCAAATCTCCTGCTTCAGCCTCCCAAGTAACTGGGATTACAGGCCCGTGCGAGCCACCAAACTGGGCTAATTTTTGTATTTTTAGTAGAGACGGGGGTTTCACCGTTTTGGCCAAGCTGGTCTCAAACTCCTGACCTCAAGTGATCTGCCTGCCTTGGCCTCTCAAAGTGCTGGGATTACAGGCGTGAGCCACCGCACCCAGCGATTGCATGTTTTTTTTTTTATATCATTCTATTTTCTTTCCTTATTTGGCTTCTTAGGTGTAACTCTCTTTTCTTATGTCAGTGATGGCTTTAGGGTTTCTAGAATACATCTTTATCCGTCTGCCATCAAGTGACATTATACCTCCCCTTCTGGCCTTCATGCTAGTGTTGTCATGTAATTTGATTTTGGACATGTTATAAATCCCAACATCCAAGTACGTACATAGCAATTTTCAGTCGTCTCCATTTCTTTGTGTAGGTTCAGATTTCTGTCTAGTATCCTTATCCTTACGCCTGGAGGGACTCCTTTAACATTTCTTGTAGTGTGGTTCGGTGAATTCTGTCATTTTTTGTATGTCTTTAAATGTTCTGATTTCAGTCACAATTTTGAAAGATATTTCAATTTGGCATAGAATTCTAGAATAACTTTTTTTCTCTCAGTACTTTAGGATTTTGCCACTTTGACACTTTGTCATTGATATATCTTTACTGTTTTTGTAAAACTGGCATAAAGTGGGCTTCCTGTACTTGTTATGTAATTTTTGGATTGTGTATTTAAATTAAAAATACTACACTAAAATGGCCTGGGCGAGGTGGTTCACGCCTGTAATCTCAGCACTTTGGGAAGGGGAGGCAGAGGATCACTGGAGACCCAGAGCTGGAGACCACCCTGGACAAGATAGGAAGACCGTGTGTGTGTGTGTGTGTGTGTGTGTGTGTGTGTGTGTGTATTATATGTATGTATGTATATATAAGTCCTAGATTCACCTTAAGTTCCACCAACAGTGCGCTTAAAGTAAAATGTGCCCAACCTGAGGCCCAAACCTACATGCTGAAGCGCAGTTTGTGTTTGTGAGACAATCTCAACAGCATTTGCTTTTCACAGCATAGTGTTTTTCCTGTTTTCCTCACACGTGAATGTCTTCAGTGCAAAACCTGTCAGAATTCATTTGCTTTTGCTAAAAAATTTTAAAATACTCTTACTTCAAGTGTGGGGAAAAGAAAGAGATCAGACTGTTACTGTGTCTATGCCGAAAGAAGTAGACATAAGAGACTCCATTTTGTTCTGTACTAAGAAAAATTCTTCTGCCTTAAGATGCTGCTAATCTGTAACCCTACCCCCAACCCTGTGCTTGCAGGGACAAGGACTGTGCTGTGTTTACTCAAGGTTTAATGGATTTGGGGCTATGCAGGAAGTGCTTTGTTACACAAGTGCCTGAAGGCAGTATGCTTGTTAAAAGTCATCACCATTCTCTTAATCTCAAGTACCCAGGGACACAAACACTGCGGAAAGCCAGCAGGGACCTCTGCCTAGGAATGCTAGGTATTGTCCAAAGTTTCTCCCCATGTGATAGTCTGAAATATGGCCTTGTGGGAAGGGAAAGACCTGATGGTTCCCCAGCCGGACACCGGTAAAGGGTCTGTGCTGAGGGGGATTAGTAAAAGAGGAAGGCCTCTTGGCAATTGAGATAGAGGAAGGCATCTGTCTCCTGCTCGTCCCTGGGCAATGGAATATCTCAGTGTAAAACCCAATTATATGTTCTGTTTACTGAGCTAGGAGAGAACAGCCTTAGGGCTGAAGGTGGGACGTGCTAGCGGCAATCCCGCTCTTTATGCACTGAAAATGTTTATGGAGATGTTTGCATATATGCATGTCAAAGCACAGCACTTTTCCTTAAATGTATTCATGTCACAGAGATCTTTATTCATATGTCTTTCTGCTGACCTTCTCCCTACTATGACTTTATTGTCCTGCCACTTCCCCTTTTCCAGATGGAAAAGATAATGATCAATAGACACTGAAGGAATTCAGAGACCGGTGCCGGTGCCAGCCCTCTGTATGCTGAGCGCGTGTCCGCTGGGCCCACTTTTTCTTTCTCTATACGTTGTCTCTGTGTCTCATTTCTTTTCTCAAGTCTCTTGTTCCACCTGACAAGAAACGCCCGCAGGTGCGGAGGGGCAGGCCACCCCTTCATCTGGTGCCAAACGTGGGTGCTTTTCTCTAGGGTGAAGGTAACACTCCAGCGTGGTCATTGAGGACAAGTCGACGAGAGACTCCCGAGTACGTCTACAGTCAGCCTTGCGGTAAGCTTGTGCGCTCGGAAGAGCCCAGGGTAACAATGGGGCAAACTAAAAGTAAATATGCCTCTTATCGCAGCTTTATTAAAATTATTTTAAAAAGAGGGGGAGTTAGAGTCTCTACCAAAAATCTAACTACGCTGTTTCAAACAATAGAACAATTTTGCCCATGGTTTCCAGAACAGGGAACCTTAGATCTAAAAGACTGGGAAAAAATTGGCAAAGAATTAAAACAAGCCAGTAGGGAAGGTAAAATCATCCCACTTACAGTATGGAACGATTGGGTCATTATTAAAGTAGCTTTAGAACCGTTTGAAACAGAAGAAGATAGCGTTTCAGTTTCTGATGTCCCTGAAAGCTGTGTAATAGATTGTGAAAAAGAGGCAGGGATAGAATCCCGTAAAGGAATGGAAAGTTCACATTGTAAATATGTAGCAGAGCCAGCAATGATTCAGTCGACACAAAATGTTAACAATAATCAATTACAGGAGGTGATATATCCAGAAACATTAAAATTAGAAGAAAAAGGTCCAGAATTAGCAGAGCCATCAGAGTCTAAGACACGATATCAGCTGGTAGAAAATAAGACCCAGCCGCCAGTAGCCTATCAATACTGGCCGCCAGCCGGACTTCAGTATCCGCCGCCCCCAGAAAGTCAGTATGTACAGCCAGAAATGTTTCCAGCGCCACAGGGCAGGGCGCTGTATCCTCAGCCGCCCACTATGAGAGTTAATCCTACAGCACCACCTATTGGATGGGGTGGTGCATTACAGAAAATTATTGATAAGGCAAGAAAACAAGGAGATATTCAGGCTTGGCCAGTCCCAGTAATATTAGAATCAAGACCACCTGGAGAAGGGGCCCAAGAGGGAGAGCCTCCCACAGCTGAGGCCAGATATGAGTCCTTTTCTATAAAAATGCTAAAAGATATCAAAGAGGGAGTAAAACAGTACGGACCCAACTCTCCTTACGTGAGAACATTATTAGATTCCATTGCTCATGGACATAGACTCATTCCTTATGATTGGGAGATTCTGGCAAAATCCTCACTCTCACCCTCTCAATTTTTACAATTTAAGACTTGGTGGATTGATGGGGCACAAGAACAGGTCCGAAGAA